AACAGTTTACTATCAACAGTTACCATGGTAATGTCATTTGGTTAGCTGCATGGAAAATGAAGTTGAGTGCTGATAGAATCAGTTTTCATAGGGTGTGAAAACTGAATTAAAAAAATCCTATCTAATCGATGAAAGTGACCAAAACCACAATTTCGAAGCGATCCATGGCAAAGTGTGGGTTTAACCCCATAAAACGCCACATGTAGAAACCCTTTATATCACTATATTTTCAAGTTGTAAACGATACTTAACATATGTTGTTTATATTAATATATTTTTCAATTGTTTAATAACTGTAGTCAAGTGTTTCGTATAATGTCGTCCATAAAATTAAGATCCACCTATATTTCTTTATTTTTGCTCTGAAAAAGCTTTGGGTTTTTCTATTGAAGTGATCGGGTATTTCATACATTAGAGGCGAAAGGGGATCAGTAGGGTATGTGACCTTCCCCAATTTTGTCTTGGTAGCGAAGTGTTCCTTTGAATTAGGAATAAAGACTTTCATAGAAAGTTCCTGTTTCAGTATCGAATTCAATGATTACTGTCAGTGTCCCCCAAATAAGGCGCTCCCTAATAGTCAGTGTCCCCCAAATTTAAATATACTCCATTGCCTACGATTTCATATTTAAAACAATAAAATGTTTTAACTATAGATAAGAAATCCTCGTCACGCCAAACATGCTCGCCCTTTCAGCCGTGGGGCGTTATAATGTGACGGTCAATCCCACTATTCGTTGGTAAAAGAGTAGCCCAAGAGTTGGCGGTGGGTGGTAATGACTAGCTGCCTTCCCTCTAGTCTTACACTGCTAAATTAGGGACGTTAGCCCCAGAGTAGCTTTGCATGAAGTTCTAGAAACAAACAAACAAATATAAACGAGAGAAAATACACCTATGTCTTTAGAACCGCAGTAGCGTATTGTCAACGGGCTTCCTTGTTGTTTGTATGTTTCAGACATTTTGCGCAAAGCTACACAAATGTCTGCGTGTAGTCATACCCAATTTTGAATGATAGAATAGAGAGAATGCAGCTAGTCAACAGCCCCAACCACTTGATTTTGGGTTGCTCTTGTCTAACGGAATGATAAGATTTGACCGTCACTCTTCTAACACAGCCTCAAAATGTTATTTTTATCCACAACGGGCTGCAGACCCTGAATCCTAGAATTTAAAGTGCGGCATTGATCAAATGGTTTCTACTACAATAAGGTTGATAGAGCACAGGTATAGATACATACACACGTGACACATAAGTTCCATTTTGTTCTGAAGGAACTGATATCATGTACAGAATTATTACTGACTGTACATATACATACAGACATGACACATAAGTTACATTATGTTATAAAAAACTGATATCATGTACAGAATTATTACTGACTGTATATATACATACAGACATGACACATAAGTTCCATTATGTTATAAAAAAAACTGATATCATGTACAGAATTATTACTGACTGTATAGATACATACACACATGAGACATAAGTTATATTATGTTCTAAAGAAACTGATATCATGTACAGAATTATTTTTGACTGTATAAATACATAATATACGTAAGCTGTATTATGTTCTAAAGAAACTGATATCATGTACAGAATTACTGTATAGATACACAATTGTTCGAAATTTGAAAGACTGACACATTTATTTGGTTTTCTCTTTTTTTTTCCTTTTGTTTTCTTTTTTGAAGAAACGGAGAAAAATCCTTTAAACTGTAAATATGGACAGAATGAATATTCATATCTTTTGGATAGACAGATTTTTTTAGCCTGTATTTTCATGCATTGTAATTAGGTCATTCAAAACTGAATTTTCTAAATTGTTTAATTTTATGGTCAAAGTAATAGACACTAGTGAGTTGTACCACTGCTGACGAATATCTAAAAACAAGTAACTATGGTGGGACAAAAGTTGCTACGCTGATATCATGTTCAGGCGAATAAAACAACATGAATACAAATTCTGCATTCATTAAGTGTTTAAAATGTGATATTTTTTCAAGATTTTCATTATTTAATTTTTAAAGTATTAGCCATTTTTTATCTAAGTTACTACAGAGTTTCAGCATTCTAAATGTACAACTTCTGTGCTAAACTCCTACTACGAAATATTATCGCTACTTAATCAGCGAAGTTTATTATCTGGTAGCAAGAAACACTACAGTTGTTGGATTCTTTAGCTTTAAAAAAAAAACGAATGAGCCCTCTGGTGGCTCAACGGTAAGTTTGGGAGCTTAAATAAACAAACAAACTTAAAGAACGAACAGAACAAGAACAGTCAGAACGCCATATATTAAATATAATAACAGATAATCGTAGTTTTGATATAGAACTGGAAAAGACAATATTATGCTTAATCATTGTTGTACAACTCAGTACTGCTATCCTTGAGAGAGAGAAAAAAAATTGTGTCAATAGCTATAAATGTTCTCAATACGACTTATGGAACGCGATTTAGTAAAAGTAGATGGAATATCGAAAATTAAATAATTTTAATAAGATTTTATGGGTATTGTAGTTTATAGAAATTGTAATTTTCAATCTGAACATCTTAGAGACTCTTAAGATATATGTGTGTTAATTCCTAATTTTGAACTACTGGCCAGAGGGGGGAAGGAAGTCAGCTAAAAGCACCCGCCACCATAATTTTTTTTTTTTAGCTTTTTGAACCGAATAACCGTATTGATAGTCATTTTTATAAAGCACCCACAACCCAAAGTGCGAAACATGCTCAACTAAATCGCATTTCGAACTCCGAACCCTTCCATCCGCAGCCCGATACACTATACCACTAATTCCTGAAATTATTACCTTTGAGTACATTCATGAATGGCTTAATATTATAAGTAGGCCTATAAAACGATGTTGACAAACAGATAAAAAAACTAACCGTTGATTGTTTTTTTCTTAGTTTATTTCTGTAGAGCTCCTAGTGGCAGACTGAGCAAATGTTCGGCGATTTGCACCCCGAAATTCTGAGGGATTGTAATGTCAAAGTTTACCATTATTTATTAATTCTCCACACGAAGCATTGATTAGTGAACTAAGGGAAAAAGTACTTGCAGAGCTGATCATAGTTTATCCGTGTGGTGAATATTAAGTGTTTTTGACAAACATTCCAATATATACGAGAACATTTATTACGTAATTTATATCATTTGAGTCCATTGATGAGAAACAAAGAACCTTTATAAGCTTTGTAATTTGTGTTAATAAGTTACATTAAACAAGTCACTTATTTATCTGTGATAATTCTTTAAGCAAAACCAGAATTTAAGCAGACCGAAGATTTAAGGCGTTCATTATTACAAAGAAAATAGTCTCAACTAAAAATATTCTATTAAGTCTCGAATACTCCAAGCTTATTAGAATATAAATGTGCGGTCCTTAGTTTTTGCCGATGCTGGTGCCCCTGGTGGGAACTAGGCGATACAAACAATATTGAAACTTTTAGGTATAAATTGTTTGTTTGTTTTTAATTATGCACAAAGCTACACATGGGTTATCTGTGCTCTGCCCACCACAGGTATCGAAACCCGGTTTCTAGCGTTGTAAGTCCGCAGACATACTTCTGTGCCACTGGGGAGCTAATGTATAAATGGGTTTGACAAACAATAATCAGTTGTAAAGTATAAATCAAATAATAATATATACACATGTGGTCTGATGATTGTTTGATTTTGAATTTCGCGCAAAGCTGCACGAGAGCTATCTGCGCTAGCCGTCCCAAATTTAGCATTAAAAGATTAGAGGGAAGGCAGCTAGTCATCATCACCCACCGCCAACGCTTGGCCTACCCTTTTGCCAACGAATAGGGTGATTGACTGCAACATAATAACCCCCTCCCCACGGCTGAAAGGGCGAGCATGTTTGGTGCGACGAAGATTCGAACCCGCGACCCTTAGATTGCGAATCAAGCTCCCTAACCACCTGGCCATGAACTATGGTATTTACAAACGGACTCGTCGGCACTAGATATGACAATTGTAGTGTGGTTGACATATCAATGCAGATTCTTCTTTGCTTTCACTCGTGGATTCTTGAAAAAATTACGGTTTTGTTAATGAAGTTTATTCTTTTAAAAAGAAATTTAACAAAGAACCTCTTCGTTAGTTTCACGAGTCTTACAATTTTACGCTATTTCTGTTTTCTAGGCATAATACCGAAGTAAAAATGAAAATAAATGTAATGAGCTAATCCTAATTTATTGCATCCCCCCTTATGTAGATGCATTGACATTCATTACCTGTTTGTTGTTGTTTTGTCAGTTGTTTGAATATTTAGCTTCTAGTTGACGTACCCGTTCAACACATGGGGGAGACATAGGCATGAGATAGGGGGCTCAGATCCGAATGTTGATCCCCCTATGCAACTCCTCGAGAAACCCGAAGAGTGCATGCCAGGTTTAGTGACAGTAGGTCCAGCGGTTCGCCAGTTATAATCGGACACACATACAAAGACTTGTCGAATAATGATTTAGACGAATTAATGCTGATAAAAACTGTAGCACTCTTCTATTCATCATGTTATGAGCTTGTTTCAATTGTCAGTTGGTAGTTCTAATTTTAACGCAAGATGTAAACGGGAGCCATAAAGGAAACAGTTTTTACCTCCCACTCTTTACAAACGTTTACGTGTTTCAACTTTACTCAGCGCCTCAAGGTGTGGCTGGTTTATTCAACATGCCTTAGGCACTAGCTCGTTCCTAATATTTCTAATTTTCCTTTCTTCGGAGATATTGGTAACCCAGTAACCTTGTTTTAACACTTAAGTGCCACCTGTTGGAATTTCACTTTCATTTATGAGCGATAATCGCGGCTTTTCTCTTCGGATGTTTACCTAAGCGTAGCCGCAGGTGACGGGGACTGTACTCTTGGGCACGCGACAGCAACTAACCTTGGGACACTAACTGCTTAACTGGAGCAGGGACGCGCCAAAGTGGGCCACGGGCGCTTCACAGACCCTACTCAGCCGCGGAGCAGTTCGAGTGATCAGTCGCAGTGAAAGCAAGTTAACATCGAGACCAAGTGTACGCAGGATGGTTCCTCAGGTAGGTGGAACGTACGTAAAAGGAAGTTATCGGGAGTCGTTAGGTGAACGAACCGACGCGGGGGTCTCGTCTGAAAGATTGTTGTGATAGATAATATAAATTTCCTAACGTATACACTTCCTCGTTCAGAATAATGATAAACTTAGAAAAAAAAACAAACATTAACTAATATATATATATGTTGGAAGAGCACTCGCGCTGTAAAAGTTACTGTAAAAATTATCGGGCCACTGAAGTTGGATGACAAAAATATAAAGTGTATAACATCAGTTACATGTAAGCATATAGTTTTACAGAGAAAGAAACGGTTACTTTGAAGGGTTTTTTGACAAAGTAGATTTTGTGCAAAATTTCATATGGCCTGTTGCATTTTTTCAGGTAAATTTAGAAATTTAGTAAAATTATTCAACGATTTTATTGGTCATCTTGTTTCTGAACTCTTTGTTAATAGTTGTGAAAGAAAACGTACTGTCAATTGTATATGCTGTAAATACAGTGTAGCTATTATTTGTTTTTGCATTTTTGTCATTAGTCGATCAGAAATTCAACTGATTTCTTGTACCCGTTTTTAAGATTGACATGTATAATTTCTTGATCTTTTTGAACTGCTTTAGGGGGATGGGTGGGAAGGGGGCTCCTACTTCCAGATCTTTATTGTAACATATATTTTACTTTTACTCAAATGAACTTTGTGTGTCCGCTTATTAAGCCTACCTAGTTACAGGACTGGCCTATATACAATACATCTGTGTCAGTCCACCCATAGTGTAGCTTTGTGAATTCGTCATGTAAATATGCTGAGTAAAGCGTTACACACGTTGAATTTGGTCGCTGATTTTATCTGTTACCAGTTATAACGCAAGTAGTCTCCATGTTGACCTGGCGTATCATTTACATCAGAATGTAAACTTTGTCTCTATAACAATCACACCGGATATTCAGTAAGTTTTTTCTAGCTTTGTCAACACCAATCCGCTACTTTATGTGAATATATTTTTTTATTAATGCAAACAATCAATTCTATACCGAGCCAGACGTTAAGTCTGAGTATAATAACGTTTAAACCGGTTACGCGGCAGGGTAAAGAATGGCTCACATTGTGTGAATAAAAGTTACAAAACGGCCATATATATATGTGTGAAAGTACTCAAAAAGATCAGTTAGAAATATAACGAAAGAATTGAGCACAACAACTTAACTCTGTATTACTGAGATCTTGTATCCAAATGATATAAATGGTTGTAATATCAACGAGTATGACATAGAGTAACGTGACTTGTATTGTTTGAACAATGACGTGAACGACGTTAGTCGGGAGAATTAAAACTTAAAATATCGAACAAAATTTGGTTTATACCGTTTAAATCACTAAGCATAATACGATAACTATTCTGTGAAATCTTAATTAAATAATTTAGTTGAGGAAGAAGGGATATAAATTAAGGAAAAATTATGACTAGCCAAATTTTCCGTTTATCTGTTTCAGCAATAGTTTTGAAGTTAAATTTGACAAGATTAGTTTAATGTTGGAGTGCTGACACTGACGTAAATTACCATATTTCGTGTCGTAGAGAGAATGCTGGTTCTTGAAGAATGTGTCTCTCTTTGTCGAAAAAATCACAAACAAATAAACAAACGAGATGGAATTTTTGAATGTAATTTTCTACTTAAATAAACAATTTCTAGTTCGGAGTTGTATTGAACTAAAACAAAGTTTTTACTGTCAATAATGGTATATTATTTTAAAGCATAATTATATGACGAAATGTAACAGACATAATAATTATACGACAAAACGTAACATACATAATAACTACATGACCAAATGTAACAGACCCGATAATTACATGATGAAATGTAATAGGCCTAATAATTATATGACAAAACGTAACATACATAATAACTACATGACCAAATGTAACAGACCCGATAATTACATGATGAAATGTAATAGGCCTAATAATTATATGACAAAACGTAACATACCCGATAATTACATGATGAAATGTAATAGGCCTAATAATTATATGACCAAATGTAACAGACCCGATAATTATATGATGAAATGTAATAGGCCTAATAATTATATGACCAAATGTAACAGACCCGATAATTA